TTCCCTTGCTGGGATATAACACAATACAATATTTGCAAAATGAATGAGGTCAAGCTACGAAAACACTGAATTGTCAAAAGTTGCTCATCTCCTTTACTTGTTGCCGTAGCTGCTGCTGCTGCTGATATTCTTCCTCACTAGCCGAAAGCGCTCGAGCCAATGCCAGATCCTCCTCCTCTTGGGCGCTGTTAGAAACAGGGTCAAAATGAATTGGGACAGCCTGTATAATTAATCCTTTCCCCTTCCTGAAATACTCATCCCACTATTGGTAGATCGGGTGATCTTTAAATGGAGAATCTGTTTCTGTCTTTGTTCAGAAGGCCTGAGTAGCACAGAGTGCTTTGAATGCTCACCTTCAACCCCATGGTTGAAGAAACAGAGAACTGGGCTTGATGTCAATAGATCTGCACTGGATCAGAGACAATTTACTGCTGCACAATTTGAGCACAGCTGTCTTAGAAGTTTCCCCTCTGTCTTACCCCAGTGTAACTTCTCAGTGAGTAGCCTGGCATGGCAGTTCAATAAAGAGAGAATATTTGTAGCTCAGGGCTGAAATGAGGAGGTCCGTGGTGCTCTTTGAGCTTGGTTGTTTTCTTGCAGATTTTTCATTACCCCAAACTATGTAACATTATCAGTGCTAGTCAGACTAGTACAGACTAGCACTGATCATGTTAACTAGTCTGGGTAATGAAACGCCTGCAATAAAACAACCAAGCTCAGAGAGCACCCCTCACGATGATATAACTCTGTTGATTTCTGCTGGCTATCAGTACCTGCTGCGCTCTGGTTGGATGGCTGCCGTTTCCGCCAGAGACATCTCCAAGGCTCGCTGTAACGCTTCCTCTTCACTCTGAAATGAAGCACAAATGCAGAATCGGCCTATCTGAGGGAAACGAAAAACACCTCAGCACTTTTACAAGGCAGGGCACATTTCAAGGATCTGGGACCTGAGTGGTGCCATTGTTCTATTTTGCTTTCATGTATACAATGGATTTTGTAGGCATGATGAGAATAAAACAGATCAAAATATCAGACAATATCTTCAAACTACCAGATTGAGGAGTTCCTACAGAATCCATACCAGTGATTGCTGCTAGACTCTGAGAGATATGACAAAAAATAATGCTGGATCTTTTTACTCTCCACTGATTCTCAACTCTCTAGCCCCTATTTTCCCGTTCCTGGAAACAATAATGGTAAACATCTGCAATAGTTTTGAAAAGACAGCTTAGTGTAGTGCTTAAGAAAAGGTGTTGGAAAAAGAGTCTCCTACATAAGGCACTTATCAGACTTCTATCCTGCATTTCATTCAGGAGGTATCCATCCCATATCACTCCTTCCTCCCATTTTTACCACCAACTCTGTGAGGTAGGCTAGGATGAGAGAGAGTAACTGGCCCAAAGTCACCAATTAAACTTTCACGGCTGAGGGGAGCCTTCAACCTGAGCTGGGATATTGGTTAATTAATGGGATGGCTGAAGGAAGATCTGGAAAGAAGCAAAGACCACATTAGTTGGTTTCTCATGTGAACCGATGGTGGCCTACTTTTTTTTTCTAGGTCTCCACTGTACCTTTAATTATTTAGATCACATTACTTAAATGCGATAATGTTTATTTAAGATGTGATAACAATTACCCTATTTGCAGCCATTCAATAGATGAGGGGAATATATCAACAGGTAACACATAACCTATATATTACATACAGAATATTGGCTAGACTTACCAAACCGTTCTGCAGAGCAGCAACAGGTACAGTCGGGCTTTGTGGCTGAGATGCTCTTACCGTTTCACTTGATCTGTATTATGCAAGAGAAAAAAGTCAGTTGCCAAATGCATAAAGTTGGCAAGTCCTAAAATTACTAACACAAATATTCTCAGGAGGTTCGTGGCCCCCAGAGGAGAAATGTGAATTGCTGAACTGGGATCCAGTTTTATAACATCTTTAGCACCAGCCAGGTTATCAGACTGAAATTACGGTTAAACGAATAACATCATTCTGACGGCCAGAAAACACTTCCAATATTACTAGGTGATTTTTCTTCAGAGACTAATATATTCAAGCAAATAAATTCAGGGTTTTTTTACCCCTTTCCTTTGTGATGTACAGGCATCATTTATTCACACAGTCATGCACCTAACATACCTTCCCCAGCTCAAAGTCTATTTGGCCAGACCAGTGTTGAGTTCCAGAAGAATTGAATTGGGATGCTCACACAGAATGCTCACTCGGTCTGGTATCTCCCAAGAATTATAGTTCCCATCCATTTATACCTTCCAACAAAGCCTGGCCAATCCTCATTTTTCCTCACACTTCCTAATCCTTTTTCACCGAAATGCTATTGCGTAATCCAGCTGACACTGAGAATTACAACTTGTGTCTTTTTCAAACTCTTCTTTCTGGTATTTTCCCACACGTTACATAAGCTAAAATCTACCAGTACAGACTGATAGATAGGCATTATATGCTACTGACAGCATACCAACATCAACATTCTGATACATGGTTATTATCATGGTTCCGACAGAAAATCTACAATGAACCTGGCTGCAGCCATCTTGCTCATTCTAGGTTGCCAGTTAGACTTGGTTAACATATGTTAATAGTAGTACAAGAATAAATGGCAAACTGTCCTACATATGTTCTAAAATATCTGGAAGATAGCGTGCTGTCTGCTCATCCCATAGACAGAGAAGTGTCAGGCATCATAAGTCGTTAACAGCACTCATGGAAAGCTGTTACTACAAACTGAAAAAGACAAGGAAGAATCCAGATTCACGTTGTGACTATACCTGCTGGAGGTTGGTTGGCTGACATGAGATCTCATGGCTGCGCTGCTAGATGTAGTGCTTACAGTTTCTTTGGCAGATTTTTGAGCCCTGACTACAGCAGCATTCCTGGAACCAGAAACAAAGTCCTTGTTATCAGCATCAGCCTATCATTGCCTCACAGGATCCCTTTGCCTTTCCCTGAAATGAATCAAAATCCACTTTATGATTCTTTTTGACAGCCATGTTAAGTCCCAATCTTGTGTGATTAACTTGACTTTCAAGCTAAACGCAAACTGTAGGGATAATTAGCCCAGAAAAGAATGTTACTGAGATTTTAGGTAGATGTGGGGAAGAGAGGGATTTTTTGTCTTGCAATCTCAGAGTAATGTCTGTGGAGATTCTCTGTTTTCCAGATCATAGCTGTCCCAAAGATGCTTTTTCATGAGGCAACTGGACTTCCTTGTTTTTCTTGGAAGATGTTTTGCTTCTCATCCAAGAATCTTCTTCAGCTCTGACTGGCTCAATCCTTCCATTCCCCACCATCCAGTCAGAGCTGAAGAAGCTTCTTGGATGAGAAGCGAAACGGATTCAAAGAAAAACAAGGAAGTCCCGTTGCCTCATGAAAAAGTATCTTTGAGACAATCTCAGATTACTTTTTTTTAGAAATGCCAGAAAATGGTGGAAAGTAACACAGATGGGTTGGTACCACCATTATACAATTATAACTTGTACAGTTCTCAGTCTTGCCTTTACCCTGCTTTGGAGAGTGAACGGCCAGCCCCACTGCAGTCATGGTCTAGGGGGTGCCGGTGTTTGAGGCAGAAGTTGCCATGACATTGGTCACAGAGCACCTTCATCATTTCCCGTTGTTTGCAGCCAGGACGCTGACACTTGTTGGTGAAGATCTAGGAAAATGGATACAGCTGAGCTTAATCAGAGTTGAGTGCAGAGTTAAATTGCAAGTAGAGAATCAACAATGTCTGCCTATTTTATTATTTATGAAGCCCCCAACCTCTAAACCAGGGGTAGTCAACCTTGGCTCTTTTATGACTCGTGGACTTCAATTCCCAGAATTCCTGAGCCAGCTTAGCTGGCTCAGGAATTCTGGGAGTTGAAGTCCACGAGTCATAAAAGAGCCAAGGTTGACTACCTCTGCTCTAAACAATGAAGAAATAACCCCTGAATTAAGATTTCTCCAAACCGTATAGTTTGATCTGGATCTTAAGCAGGCATATCCCTCTTTTCTTTCTTTGCTACTGCAGGCTTTCAAATGCCTTCCAGTGAAACTGGAGTCTCTGTAAACAGCCTAACCCAGTGGTGGCGAACCTATGGCACATGTGCCAGAGGCGGCACTCAGAGCCCTCTCTGTGGGCACGTGTGCCATGCCCCGGAGATGATGAGGGACTGGCCCCCGCCACCCTGGCCCCGCCCACCCAGTCTGCCATGACCACTGAGGCCACGCCCACCCGGCACCCGTTGATAAATAACTGGGTTTTGGGTTGCAGTTTGGGCACTGGGTCTCTAAAAGGTTCGCCATCACTGCTTTAGAGAATTTGGTTGATCTTGCATTATCTACATTAATGGAACTCACACATTCGGATGGGAGTTTTGTACAGGCAAAATTTAACTTCTGGACTACTATCTAGCTTGGGAGAAGCATATCAACGCCTCCAGGAATATGGTTACCAAACTGTGCTGATTCAACATTAGGATATTCCTACAGGCCTGTGAGTCAGTTACTGATATATATTGAATTCTGATAGCTTGCTGCCAGATACAACAGGAAGTGCTTTAGCCTCTCACCTTTCTCTTACGCTGCGCTGGGTCTGATTTGCAGTCTTGATCAATGTGGGCTCCCACCACAATATCAGGCATTTCTCCTCGCTTCACAGGGATGGGTGTGCTGCATAGTGGACAAACAGGAACCTGTACATCCTAGGAAGAGGATAGAGATTGAGTGATATGTAAGCACTTCCTTTGATTCATGCATCATACAGCAGACAATGGTGGCTTTTGGGTATTTCAGAGTACAACTCCCATGACCTTCAAGTTTACATAGCTCTTTGTTTGATTAGGGAAGCTGTAATAATAAAAATGTTATCTGGTCACTTATTCAGAAACAAAGCAGATGTATTTATTTTATTCCATATACAGCTTGAATTATACTAGATTTTGAGTGATGACCAGCAAAATAATCAACATCACACTATAATAAGTCAGCATCTACTTCATCTCAACCACAATTCTGCAGCATATAACCACCGTCTAGCTATGCCTGTTCATAGTTCTAGCCAACTATTCCTTCCAAACAAGATAATCTTTGTTTCCTTCTCTGTTTTTAAGTTCATCTTTTCCATGATATTTAGCATGTAGTAGCTATTGGACAAACTCAGTTTTCAAAAGATTTGTCTGTCTTTCAGTTTTTAGCATTCATTTATCTGGTACTGTATGTCTACAAACTTAGGATTCCTCAAGTAACTCTTATTTCTAGTAGGTCTGGTTTGCCTGCAATGATGTTAGGACTCCCATTCTTGTTTGTTATTAAAGGGAATGAAATTGCATTAACATTTTTCTATAAAAATTTAACCCAGTAGAGCAATTCTTGGAAAATTGACCAACAATGCATTCCAGTTATAAGACAATTGTTAACAAACCATTTTTGCATGATCGTGTTTTATAAAACAATTTCTAGAGAGATACAAGGATTAAAAGATCCATGGCATTTTTCAGATTGCCAAACGTAATCTGAAATGTACCACAATATAAAGAACTGACACACAGATGAAAAGGTCTTGCAACAGTGGCCGGTTATTTTCTTATTTTAAGTTTCCTTATGTGGACAGCCCATTTCACAAAATTGGTGGTTTAGAATCATGGAGCTGAAAGAGCAATTTTAGGTATTTTAGCTCATTTTAGTATCATTGTTCAGTACAGGAATTGAAATTAAAGCATCCTCTGCAAATGACTACCTAGCTAGCTTCTGTTTTCTTCCAGCAAAAGGAACTTACCACTTCTTTTCAACTGTTCTTATAGGTTTCCTTCCCCCCTCGATTCAATTATAATCTGCTTTAATATTACTTATTATTTTGTATCTTAGAATCTGGTATCATAAAAGACAGGACAACTTTCTCGATGACATAGCATTCCTTCTCTGCATTATTCTTAAAATGTGGTGTCTAGAATTGGATAACATATTTGCTGGTTATGTCTGATTAATGCAGAATGTTGTAGAATTTTTTATTTCCTTGTTTCTGAAACTATATTACTGCTTACCCAATCTAAAATTTTATTTGGCTTTTTAGCCTTCACACTAGAACGTTGGTTTATTCACTTTGTAGTCACCTATTATTCCAAGACCTTTTTCATAAGGACTATGGTTAACCAAGGTACCCACCCTACAGCTGTGCATTTGACTTCTATAAGCATCCCGTCTCATCTCTTCATTCAAATAATTGATTCAAAACATTCAGAATACATGATTCGACTTTGCAACACTGCGTTCAATATTCTCACAGTGAGGAAATGTTCGTGAGCATACTTTTTTGTCAGGCCATCCAATTTATATTTAACTAGTTTGTTAATCATAATGTGATGGGATGCTTTGCTAAAATTAAGATACATTATCTATTTGGTACCGTCACATTCTATGACTATAATGAAATTACAAGTCAAAAAATTAGTTAAGCTGGCTATATTTGCTCTTGACAAATCCATGCTGATTTCTGGTAACAACCACAAGCTACATTTCAAATAGCACAGCCTTCTTTATGCTGTTTCATCTGAGGTTGCAGAAAGAACAGCTTTCTGCTCTTTTGTGCCCTGTACAGGACAGAATCAATGTATTCTATGAAATTAGGAATAATTTGGTCCCCTCCAGTTTTACTTACCTTCTTGTATGCTGAAGTGCAGCTATGATGGGCATAGGCAATATGGTCAGTGCAGAATAGCTGTTCACATGCATCACATTTCAAGGGGAGGAAGTCTGAGGGCAAGAAACAGCAAGCCATGAAAAGCTGTACAGTGTACCTCGGTGCTCATCATTAATTGGTTCTGGGAGGTGCGATGCGTACCAAAAACTATGAGTACCAAACAATTTTTTCCCCATAATGATAATATAATGAGTCACAAGGCAGCTGACACTGACAAGTTCTAGCTTGTGCATTGAGTATCAAACAAATGATGAGTGCTAGGACAAAATTTTCATGTCAAAATTAGTCAAGTACCAAATCTGATGAGTTTCAAAGCAGTTGAGTACCAAGGTACCACTGTAAAAGTTTTCCAATGACATTCTAGGCATTTTACTGAATGCCATGGTAGTAGTATTGTCAGACTTTATTTTAAAAGGTACATGCCTTTAAGCAGATGAAAAAATGTGAATGCAAATAAGATACCATGGTAACTAATTCTGCAAATAGATTAAGATGCAATGTCTTGGGTAAAAATATCAGAAAAACTGGAAAAAAAACCCACTCTCAAGATTTTGCTTCCTAACTTTCTCATCTAAAAAATAATCTCATCAAATACTCCAAACTATCTTTCTGCTATCTACAACTGTTGAGCTGTAACATAAGCAAAAACTAATGATTTATTCACATTTGTTCATACTGCCATGCCTTAACACAGAACTGGATTAAACAGAATAGAATGGCAAGTAACCTGGTTTGTTGGGAAACATAGACACATCATGTAACAATCCCTAAACCTACAGTAAAAAAAAATTGTGACAGTCAAGTATAATCCCCTTGAAATATCTCGGGAAGCAATATTTTTTGAATTGTATAAATTGAGAGGAAATTTTCCTTCAGATATGAAGGGTGGGGGAAGAGCCCTCCACATTTACAATTTTCAATTACATTATGAACTTATTTCCTAGTAAATAACCCAGGATTTCACTCCAAGGAGTTTATATCTCATATCAAGCAGAATCCTAAAGATCCAGATCTTTGTACACAACCTCTTACCAGCAGTTTACTGAATGTTCTAACATTCTATGTTAGAGTTAGGCATAAGATGTATGCCAGCACTCTGTATGGAATCTCTCCAATTTGAAGAATGCAACAATTTCTAAATTCTAATTAATGTCTATGTTACATTCTTAATGTGGAGTGCTCTTCTAAGATGGCCAGCCTTATTTCATTGTTGGGAATGAAATGTATCTAATTAAAGCAGAAAACAAAAGCTGCTGGTCTGATTTCTTCTGGGAATAAAGCTTTTATCTTCACATTAAACATCAAAGCATCTGGGGACTCAAAGCTTTTAGCTAAGGAATTGCCAAGAGTGCATCTCCATAGAGAAGGCCCTGCTTATCTCTTTGTTTAGGAAATAATTTTAAGTGCCATCACTCGGACATCACTAATGTGGCAGCTGTTGTAATATTTACTCCCACACAAAGCCATTAGAAAACATATAACCGAAGCTATAAAGTACTTATAGCAATTGTATTGACATGATTTTCAATCTGCAAAGTATTATCAAAACAATGAGTTCAGCAGGCCATCCACTCCCCAAAAAACCCTATTCCCAATCCTCTCTTAAGTTCAGAATAGAGCTGGAAGGGACCTTGGAGGTCTTCTAGTGCAGGGCTTTTCAACCTTTTCACCCATTGTACCACTTTTAGGATATGGCAACATCTGAGTACCACCAGTCACCTAGCAAGGTGTCAAAAACTTGATGACCAAAAAAAAAAAAAAGGAAAAAAGTGATAAAATACAGGTAGTCCTCGACTTACAACAGTTCGCTTAGTGACTGTTCGAAGTTACAATGGCACTGAAAAAAGTGCCCCCCCCCCAAGCCACAGCTGAGCAAGACACCTGCTTGCCTGCCCGGCGGCGCTCTTCCTCCTGTCCGAGGTTTTCATTGTTGTGAGCATTTCTGTTGAAGATTGGCAGCGGGGGTGGGAGGTGTTTGGTTTTTATTCCCCCCATCTGCTGGGTGGTTGCAGCAGGTTTGGTCACTTCACATGACCCTGGGACACTGTGACCGTCATAAATATGAATCAGTTGCCAAGCATCTGAATGTAAATCACAAGACCCTGGAGATGCTGCAACATTCCAGCTGATCGGCGCTTCTTCTGGGCTCAGCAGAAGTGCCAGGATCAGTGCTGCTTTCCAGCTGATTGGTGCTTCTTCAGGGCTCAGCAGAAGCACCAGGATCAGCACCAAGCTCCAGCTGGAGCCTGGCGCTGATCCTGGCGCTTCCACTGAGCCCTGACAGCCCTGAAGAAGCGCCGATCAGCTGGAAAGCGGCACTGATCCTGGCACTTCTGCTGAGCCCTGCAGCTCCAGCCATCTCTTGCTCAGGCTTGTGCGGTGCTGCCACTGGTTCAGCTCATTTCTCTCCCCCGCTACCATTTTTTCTTTTTAATTTCATGTTACTTCTCTCCTTGATTAGTTACCAACCATTATTTCTTGCCTTGCCTTCTGGTAGTTTGGAAAATAAGTTGACACCCTCTTCTTTGTGGCAATCCCTCAAATACTGGAACACTGCTATGATGTCACCCCTAGTCCTTCTTCTGCATCTCAGAAAGTATACCGCAAAGATACCACTTCTCATACAGTTGTTAAAAAAAAAAAATGCAATCCATGCAAATTCCCCTGGTTGCCAGAGTTCTAGAAAAGCCAGTTCCACGATGCACGCTACAATCTCGATTGTAAGCTACGCTGTTCCCAGCGCTGGGGAAAGAGTGGAAGATCCCCTGCTTGCCAGTTTCCCCGTCCTATCACGCATGGCTGGAAAAAGTCCCGATTCTCCCTCGACCCACTGCCTCCCTTTCTGCCCTTCCCAAACTCCAGCCAAGAGAACGAGCTGGGATGGGTGGGGAGGCACCTTTCCCCCTACAGCTGAAGGCAAAATCCTCACCCAGGCGCTTGCAGGAGGGCTCCGTGCAGTGGGCTCCTAAATCTGGGAACTCCATGAAGCTGTCAACGGGGTCGATCCCGGGAGTGGCGGGGGAGGAAGGACGGTACCTGGTGGGAAGAAGAGACTTACAACCCAGGGGCTCCGAGAGCGGGGGAAATGCACGGCAAGGACGGAGAGCTATGACCCAGCGGGGGTTCGGCTGAGATGCAAAAGATGCAGCCGAGAAACAGCGAGAGGGGAGAGAGCTGCAACACCCAGAAGAGGCAGGGGAAGGAGGAGGAATCTGGACAAGCGGCAGAGGGAAACGAAATCAGGGGGAAAAAACAAAGCCACCGTAGCCAATCATCCTCACCCAGCTCGCTGTGTAAAACAAGGAAACCTTTGCGCCTTTTGCCCCACCCACTTCCGTCCCTAGCTGCGATGACGTCATGGCATCAAGGACCTCTCCGCGTCAAGAAACCTGATCCCTACCCGGTGAAATTTGGGATACCGTATTCCGGCGGCATGCCGGGAAATGTAGTACGGGTGTGAGAGGAGAGGGCTCAGCCACCCAAACAAGTCTTCCCTTGGCCTCCAGGGCGCGCTTAGCAGAAACTGATGCAAGCCGCGCGCGGTGTACGATGGTAGTTGTAGTCAGGAGCGGAACAGTTCCCGTCTTCTCTTTTACGCGAGGAATTAAGCAAGAATTCCGTCCGAGGTTGGGAATTGCCTTTAGGCAAAGAGGCCGAACGCTAGGAACAGCCATTGGAGACATTCTAGTCCCGCCTTAGCCGGAAGTGTCTCTATGGTAACAGTAGGCGGATCGGGTTGGGCCGGAGGGGTTAAGCCAGCGCCTGCCCCGGAGCCGGTAAGTATGTGGGCCCTGTAGCCGCAGCCCTGGGTAATGGATCGCCTCTCCTTCTTCCGCGGGATATTGAATTCTCGGAGCGCCTTTGGCCTGGACCGGGCTGAAGCGCCCGGCTTTTAATTTCCAGTGGAACTTGAGATAATCTGAAGCAGCTAGTCTGAACTCCCTTGGATGAAGCTCCCTTTTCGGCAGATTTTATTGTTATTTATTTATTAAAAACATTTAAGAACCCCTCATTTCAACCCCGAGTTACAAATATTCTTTATTGGTACATCTATAATGGATTTATATAGAAGCTGGGCTTATTTTCCTATAGATCGGTCTTTGGTTTCTTCCCAAGTGTTCCTTCCTTCGTGTCTTGAGGTTGTTACGGTTCTGCATTTTAGGGTTACCGCATGGTAATTTGAGAGAGATTCGTGTAAAAGAAACAGCTGTCCAAATTTAAATTGAGCAGGCCTTTGTAACGCTCAGGATGGGTGAATCAGGGAGACCTTCAGATCGTCGGCTATTTGCCCTCAAAAGTGTCAAAAATAAATCTCCCCTCCCCCCACTTTTGGATAATTATTTTGCTATCCTTTGCATCAGCGATATGTGATTACAAAAGATGAGTCCTTGTGTTGCAAGGCACGTGGGTAGGCAAGCTAGTTCATACAATAGGTGTGAGAAAGATATAGTTGGAATGATTGTACAAGCAAGCATTGTATCCATGAGACTTTTTAATTCTATCATTTCAATAGGTGATATTATTAAATTTTATAGGCATATTCCTATCCGCGGGAAGAATCTTCTTGTAATTATTTCAAGCCTTGGTCATTTGTCATAATAGACATGACTACTGATGTTCTTTTTTACTCATGGGGAAATAAAGCTGCCGAAATGAATGACTTGCCTAAGTACTTCCATAAGTCCAGGCTCAACTTTCTGTCCATATTTTCTTGGTCATGACTTTGTTCTTAATAATCTTTTTGTCATTGATGCAGACATTACTTTTATTTGTTAATAGATGCAATGTTTCATTTGGAGGCATAACTCAAAAAGGAAGGTGCCTAATATATTCAGAATTACAAATGTTAATGCAATTCTACCTTATGTTGACAGAAACATAGTATCAAAATCACATGGAGTATTATTATTCCCCTCTGCTTTTTAGTAATCCGGTTGGGTTTGGCATAATTAGTCCAGTTATGGACATCATATTTAAAGAACATTGTCAAAATAGAGAATGTTTATAGGAAGATGACCAGGATGGTTAGGATCTGGAAACTAAGCCTTATGAAAGGTGCAGAATCAGCTTACACTGGAATAAAAGCATCCTCATATTACCTCCCATATTCTGAGAGATGCTTCAGATCTGGAGCAAGTGAATGGTGAGTACAAAATTAACGAGGATTTGGCAAAACCCATTTTCTCTGACTGTCATTAATAGAAGTCTCCACTTAATCAAAAGTCTCCGTAATCAAAGTGGATTCAATACGTAATA